GGGGGAAGCAGGGCTGGGAGCCCAGATGGCCGCGTGTGTGGGAGGGGATGTCCTCAGATGCCCTCCACCCGGCAGTCCCCGCTCTGACGTGTGTGCCCCCCCTCTCCCAGCCCGGATTAGTGGCAGCTTGGCCTGACTCTCCAGTGCTCCTTCCCCCGCCCTGCCTGCTGCCCACCCCTGGGCAGGGGGCACTGTGCTTGCCCAGGTAAGGGGCTCTGGGGTGGAGAAAGGGCAGCCGGTTGTGAGTGAGGCTGTGCCTGTCAGCAGGAATGTGTGTGTCAGCATGTGTGTCAGTGCGTGAGGGGTCGGTGTGGGCTATGACTGGACCCATGTGAGTCTGGGGGTGATAGCCAGCTTACCAGGTCCATGGTCTGGTCTTGTGACCACACAGTGGGTGGCTCCCCCCCCCCCGTGTTTGTGTCTTTTGTATGTGTCCTCAGCTATGCTCCATCCTCAGGCACAGCAGTCAGCTACAAGGACTCTGGCCTGTGGCACAGGCTGTAATGCAAGGATGAGGAATGTGGTTGGATGCGGGTGGTACTTCTCCCACCTTAATCTCCACTAACCCCTGAACATTCCAGAAGACTGCCCTGAGAGCTCTGGTCTAGTCCAGGCACTATAATCTGACAGGTAGACACGGCAGCTGGAGGTGTGGGGGTGGGTATCTGTCCGGCTCCCCTGAGACAGTCCCTATTACCTTAGGGGCAGACAGCCACAGGCCCCTGGGACTCTGGACAGCACAAGCTTCTACTCTGGCCTCTTCCAGACCTCAAGCCACAGGACCTTCCCCCAAACAACGATTCTCCCACAGGCCTCCTCAGCTAAGGTAGGCCAAGGGACTTAGATTGGGACCACAGGCAAATCCCAGCCCACCACCTAGCCCAGGAGCCAGGCTGGGAGCTAGAGGCCAGGCTGGAGCCTTGGGGCTCCAGTTCCTGTTAGACCCTCCTCATTCATCTCCATGGCACACTAGAGTCAGGTCACCCCCAAGGGAATGGATAAGAAAAGGAGTAGGAAAAACTCAATCAAGTGAACAATTCCTGCCAGCCTGCCCCCTTCCAACTTGGCCTCTGTGAAGGTGAGGGGCTAGGAAGATCTGTGTCAACAAGGCCCACATCTGAACAGTTTCAGCTGTATGGCCCTCCTCTCCCAAGTACCCATTCTGTCCTCAACAGTTGGTGAAAGGCTTCTTGTCTTCATTCTTGTCCCTTTTGAGAGAAAGACCTTAGGCTCTTCATGGACACCCTCTTGAGAGATGGTGGTGTAACTTGGGATCAGGTTGTGGCCTCCAGAATTCATCCCATCTACGGGGATGGGGAAGTAGGTGGTATTGCTTCTGTTTCGGACTGGGCACAGAGAGGCAGGGGAGTAGAGGGGCAGGAGGTGGGTGCCTTCAGGGAAGGGAAGCACTGGTTGGGCGTGTGGGTTTCTGTGTGTGTCTGTCTGAATCTGTCTGTTTGTGTGTGCGCTCTGGAACCACCCCCGCAGAAGAGCAGGGATGCTTCCTCGGGTGGAGGGTGCCCTGTTTGCCCATTTCCTCTCCTACTTGCTGTTCCCTCCCAGGAGCCACTCCCATGGGCTACTCTCCAGGCTGGGCCTGGGAGCACCAGGAACAGTAGGATGGGGCAGCCCAGCAGACAACCCCAACGGGAGCTTGGGATAGTTGTATGCGTCTGGTCCCATCACCTCTGGACACTTGGTAGAAATCAAGTCCCTTAGACCAGGGAACAGACCAGACGGCAGGCCCTCCCAGATTCCAAAGCATAACACTTCGAGTAACCTTGTGCTCTGAGAGGGATGCTGGGAAGAGGGGCTTGGGCAGGTGAAGATTAAGAATGTGGTAGGGAAGACACCAGCCATTGGGGTGTGCCCAAAGCTGGAAAGGACAGGGAGAGAGTGGTCCAGCAGGCACGGGCCTGCTGGCGTGGGTCGTAG